TTCGGAGCTCATTAACTGTTTAATGATTGTAAACAAAGCCGCCAAAGATTGAGAAAAGCGGTTCAGGTTCGTAAGTGTTCGCGTAACTAATTCGTGAATCTAGCCCCTGGGTGAGAGCAGCCCGTCCTCCAAACAAAGATCCAAAAGTGATTCCATGCACCCGCCAAACCCCCTGTTTATGAATGAAAAGCGGTTTATACACGACTCACAACTGCTGACGTTCGAACATATCCGGAACAAGTGCTTCACTGACGAATTTTGTTCGAATCACAACGCTATAAATGCTTCACCCACGTACTACAAATACAAATAATAGCCAACAGAACCTAAACACCTAACCTAACCTATGCCTATATATACACAATATGCTAATATATTATAATATTAATTTATACTTGAGACAATTCCCGTTTTGAATGAACAGCATGTTAAAATTTATGAATGCGTCTGTGGGGTTGACCGCTGAAGGTAATGGACTTGAGTCGAGGACGGGTTGGTGAGAGACTGGCTGGTCAGACTGTCTTACGTATGGATAAAGCACTCTTGGAGTCGCCTTGCTTCATCTGTGGCAAGCACAAGGTCCTCCGGCGTTGGCTTGTGTTGTCATCGTTCTTCTCCGTGTGGGAACTTTCTCTTATTCTTTTGTGTAGACCTGAAATGTAGAACGATTCTTCGCGGCAGGGGATCGTATTCCAGGGACCATAGGATTAAGAACTTGCCCGAAACGCTACGCGTACTAGTGGCTGTACAAGAATGTAACAACTCTTGTATATATCTCAAAAAAAAAAAAAAAAAAAAAAAATCTCTTGTCGAGTTCCTTATAAACGTCTTTATTATGTGTCGTGAGTTTCTCTCCTCTCATCAGTTTATCGCCTGTTCATTTTGGTTCCCGAACCCGTTCCCCCCCCCCCCCCCATTCCCCCCTTCATGTGGCTGCCAAGTGACTTGTATAGAGCCTGAAATTGTGTGCGCACGCGCGCGCACACACACACACACACACACACACACACACACACACACACACACACACACACACACACACACACACACACACACACACACACACACACACACTCACCATGGCTTCTGGTATTTCCGAAGGTTATCTTGAGGTTATCTTGAGATGATTTCGTGGCTTTAGTGTCCCCGCGGCCCGATCCTCGACCAGGCCTCCACCCCCAGGAAGCAGCCCGTGACAGCTGACTAACACCCAGGTACCTATTTTACTGCTAGGTAACAGGGGCATAGGGTGAAAGAAACTCTGCCCATTGTTTCTCGCCGGCGCCCGGGATTGAACCCAGGACCACAAGATCACAAGTCCAGCGTGCTGTCCGCTCGGCCGACCGGCTCCCCCGGTAGCTTCTTTACTTTGTAAAATTCCTTGATTTTTTTTGTACTGTCGTCTGATATACTAAGTGAGAAGGCGGTGGAGGCCAAACCCCCCCCCCCCCAGTAATTTGAAAGCGTTATACGACGAAGAGTACCGGGAAGACGGGACACCACGAGCACAAGCTCCCATCCTATACACTTGGGTAACTACGCACATACTCGCATCTTTCACTGACCTTCGCTGATGAAAGTGTGGCTCGCTAAGACTCGCCACCAGACAGCTACGAGAGAGAGAGAGAGAGGAGGGGGGGGGGAGAGAGAGGGGGGGGGCATGCACCAGCAGACTCTTAGGAGTTGTTGTTGTTATAGATTCAGCTACCCGGAACAAGTTCCAAGTAGCACGGGCTATGGTGAGCCCGTAGAACAAAGGAGGAACCCCAGAACACGAACATCCACGAAATCACCGATTCACAGATGATGTTAAACAAGAATAATTTTTATTTTTAAATTTTGCCCCGAGGGGCGAGTTTATTGGGCAGCGCCACTCATCCTGTGAGTGGACACACCGCCATAGTGACAGTATTGGGCAGCGCCACTCATCCTGTGAGTGGACACACCGCCATAGTGACAGTATTGGGCAGCGTCACTCATCCTGTGAGTAGACACACCGCCATAGTGACAGTATTGGGCAGCGCCACTCATCTTGTGAGTGGACACACCGCCATAGTGACAGTATTGGGCAGCGCCACTCATCCTGTGAGTGGACACACCGCCATAGTGACAGTATTGGGCAGCGCCACTCATCTTGTGAGTAGACACACCGCCATAGTGACAGTATTGGGCAGCGTCACTCATCCTGTGAGTGGACACACCGCCATAGTGACAGTATTGGGCAGCGTCACTCATCCTGTGAGAGGACACACCGCCATAGTGACAGTATTGGGCAGCGCCACTCATCCTGTGAGTGGACACACCGCCATAGCAGCATGTACAACACTCCCCAATAGGAAGAAAACCCGCTGGGTTGTTCATCCTGTCACTTGTACCCAGACACAGCTGGGACTTGCTTAACTGTCTCAACTGAACAGCTCCTAGACTAAAAGAAACGTGGAACAAGACCGAAGAAATGCGGAAGTTGGCATTGTTGAAGACGATAGGCGAGAAGTAAAAAGATGGCGGATAAAGATTTGAGAAAGCCGAACGAAACGCAAGATAAAAATGGTGTGAAAATGTGGATGGTTGAGGAGGCTAGGACCACCTCGAGGGAGAGTCACTGTAATTTGCATGAGCAAAGTTTCCTTTAGTTTAGTCTCCTCCTCTCATCGACTTGAGAATGGTCCAGGACGGACCGAAACGTCGTCGTCCCTTCACCTTCTAGTGTGTGGTCTGGTCAACATTCTTCAGCCACGTTATTGTGACTCATCGCCTTCTTGTTCTTAACCATGTCATTTCAGTGGTAGTTAGGGTTGGTGAAGTGTGTTACCCTCTTAAATAGGTGGCGGGGTAGGCCTGGCTGGAATGACCGCGGTAGGCAATTCTAAAACAGGCACTGGCCAGATGCAGGGTGCCCCTAGGGGCGGCTGGAGGCATGCCGGATGTCCCCAGGGACGGCTGGAGGCATGCCGGATGCCCCAGGGACGGCTGGAGGCATGCCGGATGTCCCCAGAGATGGTTGGAGGCATGCCGGATGTCCTCAGGAACGGCTGGAGGCATTCCCCAATATGTGCGCTGGAACCACGAGGGATAGTATAGGTGCTACGGGCCGCGGGGATGATAAGCCCCGAAATCATCTCAAGATAGTTGAACGAGCTAATGGCCAGTTGTATAACTACAACTGTATCAAGGCCAGCTCTGGGGGGGGGGGGGGGTAGAAATAGCCTAAGCTACTCTATCCCTTTGAGATGTTTTTCTTTCTCGTCTCAATAAACATACTTGAACTTGAAGGTCAGCTCAGATACACACACGCACAAGGCTAAAGGAGCTGAACCTCACGTCTCTGGAAAACAGAAGAGTAAGGGAAGACATGATAACCAACTACAAAATTCTCAGGGGAATTGACAGGGTGGACAAAGACAAACTCTTCAGCACGGGTGGGACACGAACAAGGGGACACAGGTGGAAACTGAGTACCCAGATGAGCCACAGAGACGTTAGAAAGAATTTTTTCAGTGTCAGAGTAGTTAATAAATGAAATGCATTAGGCAGTGATGTGGTGGAGGCTGACTCCATACACAGTTTCAAATGTAGATATGATAGAGCCCAGTAGACTCAGGAATCTGTACACCAGTTGATTGACAGTTGAGAGGCGGGACCAAAGAGCCAAAGCTCAACCCCCGCAAGCACAATTAGGTGAGTACACACACACACAAACACACACACACACACACACACACACACACACACACACACACACACACACACACACACACACACACACACACACACACACACACACACACACACACACAAGGACGGGACCTTGGCCTACATATAAACAAGGGTACTCGTGTAGAATACATTAAACAGCGAGGATAATTCTTATTCCTCACCCGAAGCCTTAAGTCACCAGGACAGCTTACCACAGAATGATAACTATTAACTCGTGTGCTGATTGGTTGTGGTGTTGGAGTGACTACTACTTCCAGTGATTCCCGTACACCATAGCAAAGTGATTTAGCTGTAGTAATTATAGTGCATTATATTAATAATGTAGCGGACGGTTGGCGTCCGAATGCTCAAAGTGCTTGGGCACTGCCCTCATACCCCCAGCTCTCTGTCCTCATACCCCCAGCTCTCTGCCCTCATACCCCCAGCTCTCTGTCCTCATACCCCCAGCTCTCTGTCCTCATACCCCCAGCTCTCTGCCCTCATACCCCAGCTCTCTGCCAACATACTCCCTTCTCTGTGATGTATAGGCATACTGGCTTAGAGCTTTCTCCTCATAATTACCTGTAGCGGTTAGGCAAGGTAGGGAATATTTTCTAGTGATCCAAAGAAAAAATACTGCATTTGGTTATGAGTCTGGGACCAGATTCACGAAAGCAGTTACGCAAGTACTTACGAACGTGTACATCTTTCCTCAATCTTTAAGGGCTTTGGTTACATTTATTAAACAGTTTACAAGCATGAAAACGTCCCAATGAGCTGTTGTTATTGTGTTCCCCTTGACTGCTGTTCCCCTTTGACTGCTGTTCCCCTTTGGCTGCTGTTCCCCTTTGACTGCTGTTCTCCTTGGCTGCTGTTCCCCTTTGACTGCTGTTCCCCTTTGACTGCTGTTCCCCTTTGACTGCTGTTCCCCTTTGACTGCTGTTCCCCTTTGACTGCTGTTCCCCTTTGACTGCTGTTCCCCTTTGACTGCTGTTCCCCTTTGACTGCTGTTCTCCTTGGCTGCTGTTCCCCTTTGACTGCTGTTTCCCTTTGACTGCTGTTTCCCTTTGACTGCTGTTTCCCCTTGACTGCTGTTTCCCTTTGACTGCTGTTTCCCTTTGACTGCTGTATCCCTTTGACTGCTGTTCCCCTTTGACTGCTGTTTCCCTTTGACTGCTGTTTCCCTTTGACTGCTGTTTCCCTTTGACTGCTGTTTCCCTTTGACTGCTGTTTCCCTTTGACTGCTGTTTCCCTTTGACTGCTGTTTCCCTTTGACTGCTGTTTCCCTTAGACTGCTGTTTCCCTTAGACTGCTGTTTCCCTTAGACTGCTGTTTCCCTTAGACTGCTGTTTCCCTTTGGCTGCTGTTTCCCTTTGGCTGCTGTTTCCCTTTGGCTGCTGTTTCCCTTTGGCTGCTGTTTCCCTTTGGCTGCTGTTTCCCTTTGGCTGCTGTTTCCCTTTGGCTGCTGTTTCCCTTTGGCTGCTGTTTCCCTTTGGCTGCTGTTTCCCTTTGGCTGCTGTTTCCCTTTGGCTGCTGTTTCCCTTTGGCTGCTGTTTCCCTTTGGCTGCTGTTTCCCTTTGGCTGCTGTTTCCCTTTGGCTGCTGTTTCCCTTTGGCTGCTGTTTCCCTTTGGCTGCTGTTTCCCTTTGGCTGCTGTTTCCCTTTGACTGCTGTTTCCCTTTGACTGCTGTTTCCCTTTGGCTGCTGTTTCCCTTTGACTGCAGTTTCCCGTTGACTGCAGTTTCCCGTTGACTGCAGTTTCCCGTTGACTGCAGTTTCCCGTTGACTGCAGTTTCCCTTTGACTGCAGTTTCCCTTTGACTGCAGTTTCCCTTTGACTGCAGTTTCCCTTTGACTGCTGTTTCCCCTTTGACTGCTGTTTCCCCTTTGACTGCAGTTTCCCTTTGACTGCAGTTTCCCTTTGACTGCAGTTTCCCTTTGACTGCAGTTTCCCTTTGACTGCAGTTTCCCTTTGACTGCAGTTTCCCTTTGACTGCAGTTTCCCTTTGACTGCAGTTTCCCTTTGACTGCAGTTTCCCTTTGACTGCAGTTTCCCTTTGACTGCAGTTTCCCCTTGACTGCAGTTTCCCCTTGACTGCAGTTTCCCTTTGACTGCAGTTTCCCTTTGACTGCAGTTTCCCTTTGACTGCAGTTTCCCTTTGACTGCAGTTTCCCTTTGACTGCAGTTTCCCTTTGACTGCTGTTTCCCCTTTGACTGCTGTTTCCCCTTTGACTGCTGTTTCCCCTTTGACTGCTGTTTCCCTTTGGCTGCTGTTTCCCTTTGACTGCTCTTCCCCCTTTGACTTCCGTCTCCCTTGACTGCTGTTCCTGTGTTTCGGTTTTGACTGCAGTCAGCACTCCCAGCAGTCTACTTAACACGCTATACACACGATAACTACCCTAGTTTGATCCTTGAAATGATTGACCTCGTTCCAGTAATCATCTATATGTATTTTATATGTAGGAAAATGTATCGTCACTGGTGTCCTTATTCCGGAAGCTGCGATATTATTTTTGTGTGTGTTCGTTTTTTAATGAGGTTTCTGTGGAGACATCATCATGTTTTATCAAGCATTTATGCAACCAGATACGAAACCGTTACATCTTTCCTCAATCATATTGGCATTGTTTACATCTATTAAAAATGTTATGAGCTCTGAGACACTATATAACAATCCTAGGCTTGGGTTGGTTGGTTTCTCAGCTAGTAAAGTGCTGAGGAATGTACAAGTTGCTGAGATTAAGGGAAGCTATAGGCCAAGCTGGTCCAGCTTAGGCTGAGTCATTGTATGTTGTTCAGACATACACGTGTGTGTGTATGTGTAATACTTGCCACTGTGTATGGCCCGGGTACGGCCCTGCGTGTACGTCACGCCGTGTACGGCTCGTGTACGTCCTAGTAGCCTTATATCAAGATTGGTGAGGCACATGACTGGACACTGGTTACTGTGTGTGTGTGTGTGTGTGTGTGTGTGTGTGTGTGTGTGTGTGTCAATGTTATTAACATTGACACACCTCCCGTGTCCTCTGTGTCCTCCGTGTCCTTGGGGGGGACGCGGAGTCCGCAAGTCACGGTCCCAAAGTTCGGCCTTAAGTTAGTCCTATTTTCTGACAAGGGTCGAGTATCAATTTTTCAGGCCATCGTGCTCAGGTCCTCTTGATTGGACTTGTAGGTCCTCTTGATTGGGACTTGTAGGTCCTCTTGATTGGACTTGGGGTTCCTCTTGATTGGACTTGGGGTTCCTCTTGATTGGACTTGTAGGTCCTCTTGATTGGGACTTGTGGGTCCTCTTTCACACGTCAAGTAGACTCCAGCTTCCTGTTACACAGAGGTGTAACAGGAAGTTCCCGTTACTTCTTCCCGAGTTACATTGATGATCTCATGCTGTGCGTGTTGTAACACCCCCCCCCCACACACACACACCCTCTTTGTGCGTGCGTGCGCACACGTCAGAAACGCCAGAGGTCACACCCGTGTCACAGGAGCCGCTTGCTTGGGAGAGGGGAGAGAGAGGAAGAGGGGGTTACACACACACAACTTCCGTCTATCATTGCTGGTGTGTGTGTGTGGGGGGGGGGGGGGTTTGGAAGGGTTGGAGGGGGTGGTGTGTGTTGGGGGAGGGTGAAGGTCTGTAACCCAGTGGCTACGCAACTTTCTAACCAGCCGAGAGTGAATGTTGTTTTAAAAAAAAACAACGCGAAGTCTTTCACTGGGAGCGGCTGGACGTGAACTCTTGGAAACTCTTGGAGACAACCTTTATTCTTGCAGAGTAGCGACGTGGCTCGTGAATGTCAGGCGGTGACCACATTGTAGTGGATGGACTTGCCACATTTAACCTTCATGCGCGGTGCGATGCACGTCCAAGCTCACCGAGTGACTTGGGGGTCTTCGTGCAAGGAGCATCGCACGTCCAAGCTCCCTGGGTGACATGGGACTCTTCGTGCAAGGAGCATCGCACGTCCAAGCTCCGTGGGTGACTTGGGGCTCTTCGTGCAAGCAGCATCGCACGCCCACGCTCCCTGGGTCTCTTCATACAAGCAGCATCGCACGCCCACGCTCCCTGGATCTCTTCATACAAGGAGCATCGCACGCCCACGCTCCCTGGATCTCTTCATACAAGGAGTATCGCACGCCCACGCTCCCTGAGTGACTTGGGACTCTTCATACAAGCAGCATCTTACACCCACGCTCCCTGGGTGACTTGTTACCTCCACAAACCCCTGACGGGCAGAAACAAACTCTCCGTGCAACGATGTGACTATTTGCTTCAATTATCCACCAATTTACCCACCAATAATTATCTAGACGACTAAAAGGACTGAAATTACCCGCTTCATGCGTCAAATTTATTGACGTATTTAATTTACAAGAAAGTTTAGTGGATTAGATTATAAATTGAGCAAATGTTACATTCTCTCGGGTGATGCGTGACGTAACAGTGGTTATAATAAGTAACGTGTGTTACTTAAGCTTGCTTAAGCTTGTTACGTAAGCTCAAGCTTACGTTCAGCTTGAGAAGGGCTGTTGCAAGCGCTGCTGGTGGTGGTGGTAGTACTGTGCAATGTGTACATTGGTCGCCGGAGATTGCTATATTGCATACGAATGATGATAGGGAGCAGGTGTGTGTATGTTAAGGAGCAGGTGTGTGTATCTTAAGCAACACGTGTGTATATCTTAAGGAACACGTGTACCCTTTCACCGCTGTAAGGTCATTGACAATTCAGTGACCTGCCTTTGTCTTCCTTATCATCAGAATTCAACGATCGTACGGTACCGGGGTCTGTCTTAGCGATGCTTCCGTCTCTCCGTCTCTCCACCTGTCCGTCGGTCCGTCGGTCCGTCCTGTACAACCCTCCGTCTATCTGAACAATAGACAGGTTTGGTGTGGGTTTGTTGCTTTTGTTCATCTCTATCTGGTGTTATTTGTTCTCCTTGTTCTGTCTTTGTTTATGGTCGGGAGCCGGTCGGCCGAGCGGACAGCACACTGGACTTGTGATCCTGTGGTCCCGGGTTCGATCCCACGCGCCGGCGAGAAACATTGGGCAGGGTTTCTTTCACCCTATGCCTCTGTTACCTAGCAGTAAAATAGGTACCTGGGTGTTAGTCAGCTGTCACGGGCTGCTTCCTGGGGGTGGAGGCCTGGTCGAGGACCGGGCCGAGGGGACACTAAAGCCCCGAAATCATCTCAAGATATGGTGGGGGGGTGATGTTTGTTCTCATATATATGTGCTTACTGGGCAAGCTTCGGCTCCTGGGTTCCGCCTTCAAGGCACCAGTTGCCTTCAGCAATGGCTCTTGAACCTCTTGGTTTTGATAACTATTGAGGTTTGGAGTGAACCTCAACTATCCCGACTCCTAATCGGGTTCGATTCAGAGTCGAAGCCGGATATGAGACTCCCGGGTTCGATTCCCGTGCAGGACACAAATGATTGGGGCAGGTCACCTTGATGCCTGTTGTGCACACAGGAGTACATAGGCATCAGGGAGTTCCAGGCACCTATTGTTGAGTGCCTAATTCATCTAGACAGTTGGGTGCCATCTAGATAGGAGGGTCTTAGAGACACGCAGCTGGTATCCAAGTAAGAATTTAGTCCTCCTTGGGGGGTGCCACTTGAGTATGAAAAATATATAATATATATAATAATTCTGAAACTTATTTTCTCGTTTATGGGTTTGCACAGAGAGAGGTTTTGAAAGTAAAGTTGATCTGGTGGACTTGTGATCCTGCTCTTCATCTTCAGTTTTTTGTTGGAGGGTCCAGCACGTGGCCCCGTGGAGGGTCCGCCACGTGGCCGTGTGGAGGGTCCACCACGTGTAGGGTCCGCCACGTGGCAGGGCTGTGTGTGCTGCTCTTACTTTCAAACTGGGTTAAACACGTGGCTTGCTGAAACATTGCTATGTTTTTGTGTTGTGTAGGGTGTTCGAAATGGTTGTTATTTAACATGGCTTACGGGAAGGAAGGACTTTATAATGGAGATATTGTGCGATGGGAGAGGTGATGCGAGACATTACTAGGTCCTCTCGTGCACTGTTCTCAGACTCACTTGGTTCAGGTTCACTATAACAGCCAGTCATGTTTGACACACCCCTCCCCCTCTCTGTCTCTGTCTCAGCTGGTGATTGGGAGACATCTCTCTCGATTTAGCCAATCATAAAAATCCAGTTTCGTGAGAACCCCCCCCCTCCAACCTTCTTTGAATCTTAGTGTTGTCATTGGACAAGGACCAGGGCCTAGTTCTCATTGGCCTAGGTGCCAGGGCACTTAGGCCTGGTTTCACCTAATTGGGTGGAGGCTTAATTATAGAGGAGGCAGAGCTCAAGAGCAGGAGACCCTGAGAGAGGGGGGGGGGAGCATTAAATAATAGAGCTAATGGTCTCTGAATTTCCTGTACAATTTGGAGTCCATTATCATGCCTCTAAGGGCGAGATGTCACTAGCTTAGGGATATCTTGAGGTTATCTTGAGATGATTTCGGGGCTTTTAGTGTCTCAGCGGCCCGGTCCTCGACCAGGCCTCCACCCCCAGGAAGCAGCCCGTGACAGCTGGCTAACACCCAGGTACCTATTTTACTGCTAGGTATCAGGGGCATACGGTGAAAGAAACTCTGCCCATTGTTTCTCGCCGGCGCCTGGGATCGAACCGGGATCACTAGTTCAGTGCGCTGTCCGCTCGGCCGACCGGCTCCCTATTGCATTAACTTTTGCATTATTAAATAAAGATATTGTTAATTAATCTGTGTATTTTGTATATTTTCCCCTTAATTATAAGACTTAGATCTTACATTTTTTGTTAACTTCACCTGTGATTTTGAGCATTTTTTGATGAGTAAATATATTCCATTTTGTAATTCATGAAGTAATGCAGAAGGAATTCCATTCATCCAGTAAGTATTAAAAGATTAAATTTCCTTAGCACTCTGTATTAGTGGACCGGTCTCCGCCAGAGTCCATTAGCCTAATTATCACAGTTCTAGGTGAAGTGGTATTCACCTAGTTGTAGTCATCTAGTTGTGCATGCGGGGGTTGAACTCTGGCTCTTTGGTCCCGCCTCTCAACCGTCAATCAACTGGTGTACAGATTCCTGAGCCTACTGGGCTCTTATCATATCTACATTTGAAACTGTGTATGGAGTCAGCCTCCACCACATCACTGCCTAATGCATTCCATCCGTTAACTACTCTGACACTGGAAAAGTTTTTTCTAACGTCCCTGTGTCTAACGTTCCACCTGTGTCCCCTTGTTCGCGTACCACCAGTGTTGAATAGTTTATCCTTGTCTACCCGGTCGATTCCCCTAAGAATTTTGTATGTGGTGATCATGTGTACCCGGCCTCTTCTGTCTTCCAGCGACGTGAGGTGCATTTCACGCAACCTTACCTCGTAACTCATGCCTCTTATTTCTGGGACTAGTCTAGTGGCATACCTCTGAACGTTTTCCAGCTTCGTCTTGTACTTGACAAGGTACGGACTCCATGCTGGGGCCGCGTACTCCAGGATTGATCTTACATATGTGGTATTCAAGGTTCTGAAGGATTCCTTACACAGGTTTCTGAAGGCAGTTCTGATGTTAGCCAGCCTCGCATACGACGCCGAAGTTATTCTTTTGATTTCGGCTTCAGGAGACAGGTTTGGCTTGATATAACTTCTAGATCTTTCTCTCAGTCCGTTTCGTGAAGGACTAGTCTCCCATTCTGTATTCTGTGTCTGGCCTTCTATTTCCTCCACCTAGTTTCATTACCTTACATTAATTTTGTTGAACTTTAGTAGCCATTTGTTGGACCATTCCTTCAGCTTGTCTAGGCCATCTTGTAGCCTCATACTATCTTCCTCTGTCTTAATCATCCTCATAATTTTTACATCATCAGCAAACATTGAGAGGAACGAGTCTATTCCTTCTGGGAGATCATTTACGTATATCAGAAACAGTATAGGTCCAAGGACTGATCCCTGTGGGACTCCACTGGTGACGCCTCGCCACTCAGAGACCTCACCCCTCATAGTGACTCGCTGTGTCCTGTTGCTTAGGTACTCCTTTATCCAGTGGAGTACCTTCCCTTTCACTCCTGCCTGCATCTCCAGTTTCTGCACTAGTCTCTTATGTGGTACTGTGTCAAAGGCTTTCTGGCAATCCAAAAATATGCAGTCTGCCAATCCCTCTCTCTCTTGCCTGATTTTTGTTGGCTGGTCATAGAACTCGATTAATCCTGTGAGGCATGATTTGCCATCCCTGAACCCATGTTGATGTTGTGTTACAAAGTTCTTTCGCTCCAGATGTTCCACTAGCTTTTTTCGCACAATCTTCTCCATCTTACATGGAATGTAAGTTAAGGACACTGGTTTGTAGTTCGGTGCCTCCTGTCTATTCCCCTTCTTGTATATCGGGACTACATTAGCCGTCTTCCAAATTTTTGGCAGTTCACCTGTTACCAGTGATTTGTTGTACACCATGGAGAGTGGCAGGCACAGAGCTTCTGCTCCTTCCTTTAGAATCAATGGTGAGATTCCATCCGGGCCTATAGCCTTTGTCACATCCAACTCTAGCAGATGCTTCCTCACCTCCCCACTGGTAATCACACTCATCTAGTGGTGTTTGGTTAGATATTCTCTCTTATCTCAGGGTATTTCCCTTGCTCTACTGTGAAGACCTGGAATTTCTTACTGAGTTCCTCGCACACTTCCTTGTCGTTTATCGTGAATCCGTCTGCCCCTATCCTCAGTTTCGTTACCTGTTTCTTGACTTGTTTCTCTCCTGATGTGGCTATGCAGCAATTTAGGTTGAGTCTTTGCCTTGCTTGCTATGTCATTTTCATATTGTCTTTCTGCCTCTCTTCTCACCCTGACGTATTCATTCCTGGCGCTCTGGTATCTTTCTCTGCTCTCAAGTGTCCTGTTATTTCTATAGTTT